AGAACCATATCCTAGAACACTATCCCACAATGACCAGGAGGTGCTGCCACCTGGATCGCACCCCCAGAACCATATCCTAGAACACTATCCCACAATGACCAGGAGGTGCTGCCACCTGGATCGCACCCCCAGAACCATATCCTAGAACACTATCCCACAATGACCAGGAGGTGCTGCCACCTGGATCACAACTAATACTAAAAGGTGCAATAGGCTCTGCGGCTCCAACATAATGTATATAACTGTGCGTCAGTGTTAATATAGCATTTGCGAGATTTGATAAAACAGCGTTTCTTGCACATACATGCATTGCGATCGCCTTTCGGTTACATTCATCCGTCTGTCGCGGTGGGTTTATCAACCACGATCTCGCCAACGACGCGGTTACCAAATGAAGACTGTGCAATCTTTCCTGGAGTTCAGAAGCAAGTAACCGGTTGTTTAACAAATACTAGTTACTAGCGGGCCTGGAACACGTATATGCCTTCCGACAAGAGATCAGATTTTGTAGCTGCTCCTCGATCGACATACCATTGAGATTCACCCGCTGTAGGTTGTCTCGCACGTGCTTATCCCGAAATAGCTCTTCTAACACCATCTCGAGCAACTGCGGAAAGAAGAAAAAACGGTCAACGCTCTCACATCACGCACACAGCATCACATCTAACACAGGCTCAGTACATCATCGCACGTGCTCACGGTGGCTCCTCCCATCACGCCCTGTGTGCTGTACTCATCCTATATATACTTGTCTGTGTGACAGAATAACGGTGTTGTTGTTCCGAAGCAACGGCGAGGACTGGCAGTGAGATCAAGTCTGCCCCCATCACGCTCACGCTACAGCATACATGTATATATATATATATATGTGTGTGTGTTATATAACCAGGCCTTATTATATATTTATTATAGGCTATTGCGTGATGGGGCGGGGGTGAAGGACTTGATCCCGCTAACAGCGTCAGCAAGGTGCACTCTTACGGTAGTCTTGCCGCAGCCGCGGGACCCTATCAGCAGCGCAGAGTTGCTCTCACCTGCCGTCGCCGTTCGCCTTATCATCTCGGCAACATGTCTGTAGAAACGAGACAAGGAACAGCATGTATGCATGCATCACGGAGCGTTAACAACTTCAAATTTGTCATTAAAGAATGTACGGTCACCACAAAGTGGTATCTATTAACGAAACCTACATTCAAATATTCGCATTCGTTATTTGATTTTTGTACTTGTAGGGGAGGTTGAGATGGAGAGAGGAGATTGCACTTTGCAGATCCAGAGGGGGAGGTTGTATTGCATTTGCAAAGCCAGAGAGAAGCCAGATATTCCAGCTTCTTGACAATTGATAATCATGCAAACATTTATTTGCACACTGTGCATCAATGGCATTGACAACTTACGCCCGTTGGGGTTCGTAGTGCTCCTTCATTCTCTCCCTCCCAGCTACACGCATCCCTTCCAGCAGTACCCTTTTCGCTTCCAACCACGGTTTTTCTAAGGCTGGTTCGGCACTCGATTTCTTTCTAACCATGCTTGATTTTTTGTTGGCAAGTAGTCAGGTTCTTCATGAATTGCTAAAGCTATATAATAATGAAATGTAAAGTAAATAAACAAGTGACGAATCGTGTTAGTGATATAACTTCAGCGTATGTACTGTACAATTATTTCATGCTTGCCGCTATGACCCTTTGCGTAATGCCGACATCCGGTTCCGGCTGACCTTTCAGATTTCACCTTTCAAGCAGCCAGCTGAACTCTGAAGGTCAAAATGGGACGCAAGTAAAATCACAGCGATGCTAGAATGCCTACATATCCTATATTGCAGGATATTATATGCGTACAATGACAATGATAGTATTAAATCTTGATATTTATTAGTTTAAACTTTCAACCCAAACACAAGACAAGAGCACATCACGAAAGCCACGTGTCCTCTGTATGAACCAATCACAGATGTGATTTAGTATGCACATGGCGACCAAGGTGGAAAGCACATGATAATTTACTGTCATTGAAACTTTATTTGGTTCCTATGAAATTAAGAGTGCTTAGCTCCTAACACAGTCGTTACAGCGATGGGTAGTGTGTTGGCGACAGGACCACAGCCCGTGGTTTCACCTCCTGTCGGTGCCCCTCCGCCACCGATGTCAGCTAATCCTTCAATCGTACAGGATGACCCAAGTCATTCCGCTGGTGAACAGGGTATTGTAAGTGACAAGGAGGTGGAATCAAGCAACACTCTTAACCCTGGCACATTCGAGGACCTCCACAAAAAATGCAAAGGTACGAAAAACATGGGTCCCAATAAAACCAATGTGTGGGCTCGACGATAGCCTGGCGGGCCGCCAGGCTATAAGTGCTCTTGGAGAACCCTGCCTCTGACATGATAAATTAGCAACTTAGATCATATATGCATCATAGCATATTTACAGGTGGTGACTGATGGAAAACTTACCTGTACTTGCAGGTTAGACCTAGAACACAGACACACCTGTCTTTGCCATCTGATAGGTAACTTACCAATCTACAGGTGAGACCTAGAACACAGACAGGTGTCTGCGCCGTCTGACAGACATCGAATAGGTTGTACAGAAGCGTCTGATTCTTGTGTTGAGCAAACAGATCAAATTCATCGATGACAAACAAAATAGAGACACTAGACTTCCCACCTGAAATTTTGATTGAACAGATTAACAAACAATACTCAGGGGCAGAAATTAACTTGTGAACAAGGGAGTCCAACAGACTCCCTGCCCCTCAAAAAGACGGAGTCTGCAGCAAAATGAGGGAGTCCGCAGTCTAAAGTTCAAAACTAAAGAAAACAATAACGCATATGAAGATTCATGAGGTTGCCCGTCTGCTATATTTTCTTTGGGCATTTACTGAAACATTCCGCAAGGCCGTGCTCTGGAATGAACTAGTTAGTATAGCAGAATTTTCAGGGAGTTACACGGACTCCTGCATATGTCAAATCAGAGAGTCCGACAGTAAATCAGGGAGTATTTGACTCCGGACTCGCGTTAATTTCGCACCCTGATACTTGTCAACAAGTAATACAGTACTAGATATTTGTAGTGTAGATATAGATGGTTATGAATCATAGATATGTTCCTGGTTTTACGTTAAACTGGTTTAATGTTGGCTATCAATAGAAGAAGATTTTATTAGTTTCACCCTTACCAGACTTCAAGGATTCCAGAAGGAAAGAAAGCGTTTCCGAAAATGATCCCTAAACAAAAAAACGGTTGTAGCAAAATGATTTCACACATGCTTGTGTAATGCATGCTTTCAGATATAATCGTAACTATGTTTGTACAGTTATTCCCCCAATATTTTAATCCACATTTTAGACAAGTCAATCATAGCAAAAACAGAGTGAAGAGCAATGTTCGTGATACGTTCCACTGACAAACTGTCGCGCTACAGGCTATACTTTCAGGTTTCAATCTATTGCGACCGGCTACTGCCACCTAGGGGTACTTACAAATACGTGGTCATCAAGTGTGTTTTCCAACTGGAGCTGGGTCGTGATTTCCTTTAGTGCCAATCTGTCATCCCTCTGTACCAGACCTGTGTGATTACACCACATCTTACATATAACACTATCAACCAACGTCTTTCCAAGCATTTCTATAGCAAACATCATAGTAACAACATAGTAATGTATATAACTGTGCGTCAGTGTTAATATAGCATTTGCGAGATTTGATAA